GTTAAGTTCAGTCTGAGTCCACCTGAGTATGCCAAAGGTATACATGAGGACAGGCATGACCCAACCGTTATATGCGTGTGCCTTATTCACACCGGACAAAAGGCTGTTAAGCACTTTGGTCAAGCGTGCATAAAACACGTCGCAAACTGACTGTTTCATACCAGCCTCATCGATACCGATGTTCTGTGACATACCCAGGTATCGGTATGTTTCAGCCTCGGAAAGGGTTCTTAAGTTGACGGGCATAGATAAGTCTATGCCCTCAGAGTTAGCAACCCTTCCCCTTTCAACATGGAGGACCGCACACTTATCCGTCCCCAGCTCCATTCTAATAGAATTGCTAAATTCGCACGTGATGTTTAGCAATTCCATAAGATGGGAGCGACTGGAGGCGAATAATTTGAGGTCATCCATATAGAAAAGGTGGGTCACTTTTGTACCTCCTTTCCGAAGCTGAAATCCCCTCCCGGAGCCCTCCAGTAAAGTACTGAGAGGGTTCAAAGAGAGGCAGAACCAGATTGGACTCAGACAGTCGCCCTGGAATATACCCCTTCTTATCCTTATGCGGCTTTCCGCAGCCGTCATCCGCTCGCCTAGATGACAGAGGATCGTACTCCACTGCCCCATACACTGCCCGAGGAAGTCTCGAACTGTACAGTCAATCTTGTACAGCTCGAGGACCCTCTTTAGCCATGTATGGGACACCGAGTCAAATGCCTTTCTGTAATCTATCCAGGCGGCGGAGAAGTTCCGACGGTTGCGTTTCACTACTTTGCAAATGACCGCGTTGATGAGGAGTGGTTCCTTGGTTCCACGACCGCCACCCCGACATCCATTTTGAGCGTGCGACATCACCTGATTTAAGAACAGGTGACGAGCGATTCTTGCGCTCAAAATGGATGTTAGTGTCTTGTATATGGTCGGTAGACACGTGATGGGGCGGTATTTGCTCGGGTCTGTGGCACCCTGATCTTTAGGAACCAAATGAGTGATCCCAGTAGTGAAGAGGCTTGGGAGCGACTTCTGGTTGAGAGCCTCTTGAAACTGTCGGGCGAGCACAGAGTGACACACCATGAACCCCTTCAGCCAGTAGTGATGCAGCCCGTCAAGCCCCGGACTTTTCCAGTTCGGGGCCCTACGGACCGCCTCAGCTACGTCATCCGGCGTTATGATGACGGGGTCCATGGGCGTAATACTCGCACACTGACTCGCCACAACTTCCGTCCAAGGGCCCTCGTTGTGGTTTACGGGCTCTGACCACAGGCTGCGCCAGAATGCGACCATGTCGGCCTGATTTGGTGCAGGGCCCGTTCCACTTACTATTGGTCGCTCCAATGATTTATAGAGCCACTTCTGGATCACTCTGGAAGAGACGATTCTGGTTGAACCGTGTCGACCTCTCGGTATATCGCCGATTCCGCTTTCCCCAAGCAGCTATTCTTTGCTTCAGGTCGTCTATGCGCTCCGTCAGTTTTTGCATTATATCCGGCTGGGACAAACTAACATTTGTCCCAGCAAACGCCATCCTGACGGTGCGCACAATCCTTGGCCTGGTATTGCCTGACCTGAAGCATATCAGTCTGCCGATGAGGGCCCTAGCCTTTGCGATACGTTCTTCAATTCTTATTCTCCAGGCTGGGATAGCACTACTTTGTCCAGTAGCGCGTCCAGCCGTGGAAAGTTTGGCACCTATAATACGGCAGACTGCCAGTGCGGCGCCAAAAAGAATTGAGTCCGTCTCGCAAAGGTCCCGGCTGGCTTCCAAATAGGTAACCAGCATTGGGTTCAGAGCCCTCACGACAGCCCGATTCCGCTTGCTTAGGGCTAAGCGGGGAAGTCGCGGTCGATTTTCGAGAGTCGTACTGCGCGTTTCCACAATCGCCTCTTCCAATGTACTCCTCATTTGCTCTAGTTCCAGTTCCTGGGCGACTGTTCCATCATCGTTTGAATCAACCACAACTGGCGTATTCACGGCGGCATCCACATTTGCCGTTCGCTCGGCAAGTTGTGCCGCCGCATCCTCAGCCGCAGCATTTTCACCCGATGAAGGAACAGCCTCACGTCGTAGCCGTTCGAGTTCGGTGACATCAAATGTATTTGAGCGCAAGATATACCGAACTCGGTCTGCCAGGTTTTGCTCGGTGACGGTTACAGATGGCTCCAGCTCAGCAAAAAGTCGATGCATCCTTGCCCGATACGCAAAACCTCCAGTTTCTCCCCCTTTCGCCCTAAAATACGCCCGCAATGCGTTGCTGTTCATCTGGGTTGTCCAACGCATGCGGCGTACTCCACCAGTAGCGGGTGCCGATTGCTGAGCCCGCGAAGACCCTGCCGACACCAAGCCAGCTGGTGGGGATGATGGATGCGAGGAGCTGCTGGGTGGTCGTGCAGCACCTCGCGCTCGGCTGGCGGTTCGCATGCTGTCGCGTCCAGCGCCAGCTCCAGACGCGCCCTGGCGACCTCCAGGCAGCGGACCTTTGCGCGTTCCATTTGATTCCATCATCCATTTTAGGGCGTCATTTAGCGGGAGACGCCCAGACCCGGCGCCGTTTCATGGTTAGGCCATGTGCACAAGCGGGCCTTGGTACCTACAATTTTTGCCGAGGCACGGCACTAACACCTCTTGGCAAGGTGCAGACTGACTGCGCCGACGTAGCGGTTTTGTCACATAACCGTTATATCAGCGGGCGATGGGGTCGTCACTTCCCTACGCCTTATTATTATTATTATTATTATTATTATTCGAGCTGCGTGGTTTGGTTATAAAGTTAAAGTTAAAAAAGTAAAGTTACAGCCTATATACGTCCCACTGCTGGGCTCAGGCCTCCCCCTCATTTCCGAGAGGGTTTAGGGCAAGGAAGTGTCCGCTGCGCTGCCCAAATGCGTGTTGACGAACTTCACATGTCTTCGAAATATTTTTTTCTTATTCCACAGACATGCAGGTTTCCTCACTATGTTTTACTTCACCGCCGAGCACGTGGTAAATCAGCACTTAAAATTGCAATTAAAAATTTCATTGGTGCCGGCGGGGATCGAACCCGGGTTACTCGCGTTCTGTTATATTTACAGCGAGCGTTAACCACTGAGCTACCACGGCTATAAAGTTAATATAATTTATTTTATATGTCACTCTCAATATTTCACGAAGAATTAGTTTTGCAACAGTAATTAAATTTTTATACCCACGACCATCATTATGAGTATTAATATACATCAAGGGCACAAAAGACGCATGACTGAAGCTTTTACAAATCCATTGAACTAGGTTATTTAGCTTTGTTACATTAAAATAATATTTTTTTTTTGAATTTCACATACAACAACATTTGTACATTTAATTTGGTGTAACGTGTAATACAAAAATGATTGAAATTCCATTAGATCATTATCATTTGAACCACCAAGTATAATTACATAATCCTCCTTAGTAAAGTCCATGCAGAGAGTATTACATGAATTTAATAGTTCATGCAGTTTTGCATTCGGCTTTAAAAAACATGTAACATGATAATCATTCCCTAGTAAACTTTGTAATTTGCTTCTCAAATCGCGACCTGCTTGATCTGACAATATCATGACTCGATGTTTAATGTTTTGTTGAGTGTGTGAAGTTCGAGTTTCGTTGAGCGAACTTGCTCTAGCGCCATGTGACCTCACGCAAGGTGTATCATTTATACCCGAAACAGTGTTCTTAATCGGTGTGCTGTTTTGTGTATTTGAGATAGATGCCAACGCTTCAATCGGTTTGTAACAGCTTTGAAGGTTATCGAAACTTTTCGAGAAAGCACTATTAAGCTGCAACTTAATAGATTTGTGAAGACAACCGAATTTAAACCCAACTACTGGTCACGCATTTCATCATAATCTATATCATAATTCAGACGTAAGCATGATTTATTGTCAAACCTATGTAGTAGTTCTATCCGGTACGGAAAAATATAACACTAGCCGAACGTTCCAGTATTTACACACACTGATATTTATATACAACTCCAGCCATTTTTATTAAAAAGCTTAAAGTACAATTTCCTGAGAACCCTTTATAAATTATTCCCTTAAGGGAATAAGAAAAATAATTGTGTTTATCTATCGACAGCTGCAACCTGTAAATATCCATAAAACTGTAACAAATATCAGTAAGCTAAAGTGACTAAATTTTAAAAATATTTCTCCTTTGGGGCGGGAAAAGCGTTCTTAAAATACAAGAGACCGAAATACAAGGACCTTTTTTATAGAATAAGGGTGACGAAAGAGCAGACAGTCCACCCGATGGTAAGTGGATGCTGTGGCCCATAAACATATACATTTGTCCTTGATTAAGAATCAAAACGCAGATGCGTTGTCATCCCTGAGGGCTAAGATATAATGCCTCGTTTCCAGTAAAAAAGGGTCTCCGGATCTCTACAATCACCATACGAACCACAGCAGTATTAAGCTGCTATTACACTTTTATTCTGTGAAAGCGTGGTCCTTCCCCGGTCGAGCCGACCCATTCGTGCTACAAGTATACTACAAATATAACTGCAGCATGGCTCTATCACCGTTTTAATCTAATGTTAATGTTTAAAATGTGATTATAATTTCATTTTTGTTTTTGAAGAAATACGTATTAAATTATACCTATAATACTGTCAGCATAATTTTTATTGTAATTTATATATTATAATATAAATCATATATATAAGTAAAAATTGCTATTTGTATAGAATTAATTACCCAATATTACCCGGTATTTTTTTGTTAAAAGCATGTATAGCCAAATCCATCTATCCGTTAATTACAGCCTTTTAATATTCACTGCTAAACATAGCCCTCCTCCATAGAGTTTCTCATAGATATTTTACCATAGAACAGTTTTGATAACTTTGAGTTGTTATCAAAAAGATGCTACTACAATATAATAATATATAATATATATAATACCCATACAGCGGAGGTAGAAATTCTTACATCGTCACTACACTGTGTATAATAAAAGTCCACCGCTGAATTTAGGCCGCCCTACCTGTCATAGTGGCCACTTTTGCCGGGCGGGTGGCCAAATGCATTTTTTTATTTATTATTAAGACGCTGCTGCACATCTACTGGTTTGCTTCCCTCTGTCGTCTCTTGAATCATCCGTGGGACGTAAGGCAGCAAATTACTACACTTACGATTAATTTCCGCTGTGGGCACATTTCCTATTCTGTGGACTACATATAGTTTATTGATATTGTCTTACCATTGTCTCTGAAAATTGGTCAATGAAAAAGTGATGACTTATAGACCTACACTACCTAAGTCAGCTTGATGGAAAAAATTTTAATTACTTTTGTAAAAGTTCCAAAAATAAATAAAACGTAATAACCTGACGGTTGAAAAAATATTTTCTTTTGTCTAAAAAGGCCTTAAATAATTAAAACATAAGTACTTGGATGCTACATTATTTAATCGAACTAATTTTTTAATTATCATCATCATTATCGTTCAATTTTCATCATCATCATCAAAGCCTTTCACAAATACTCTGCTTAATATAGGCCTCAACAAATTGTTATTTAAAAATGACAAATCAACTGTGCTTAAAGAAACGTGAAAAATTCTTATGCCCATTAATTTATGTTGAAAATAACACGAATATTTACCGGTAACAAAAGAAATCGTGATTCATTTAAAATGGACAATTTTTTCGATTTCAAATGTCGCCTAAAATCAGATGAATCATTTTATCGACTTCAAATGGAATTTATGGATAAAGGTCCTTCTAAAGCACCTGTTGGTAAAACAAATTTCAGCACGGTCTACTAAATTTAAGAGATAAAGAAAGAAGAACGAAGAAAGAAAAAAAAAGAAGAAAAAAAAAATAAAGAAGAAAGATTAAAGAAAGAGAACCCTTTGACGGCTGTTACAAAATAAAACGTGGTAGCAGTAAAAAAAATATAGAAGAGAATAGGTGAATTACGTACTCGTATGAAGAACTAAAGATACGTATGGAATCATTCTGTGTAACCCAAGTTATAGTAGTAAACCGTTGCACTCGGTAAGTATATCTTAATATATATAAATTACGTGTCACGTTGTTTGTCTGCGATGGACTCCTAAACTACTTAAGCGATTTTAATCAAATTTGCACACCTTGTGCAGTTTGGTCCATCTTGAGTGATAGGATAGTTTTTTCGCCCATGAGTGGCCCACAATTTTTTTTGCTAATTTAAGGATAGTATATAGGCCCTTTGTCGTGTCCTATAGATAATAGGACACGACAAAGGGCCTTCGAAAAGGGCAGAACAACGTCTGCCTGGCAAGCTAGTAGTATATATATTATAATAATCTACGGTACATAGGATACACTGAAAGTTCTGCGCTCCTGACCGCACATAAATGTTTGAATTTCGAATTTAATATTTTTTAAAGATAAAAAATTTAAACACGATTTTTTATGATTTTGAAAGTACACAAGATTGCTTTAGAAAGGGAAGCACCTCATTTGAGCACCATAGGGCGTTGATATGCAAAATTTGATCGTAGCTGTGTTTCTCTCTTTCATGAGGGATTCGATCCTCAATTGCGATCACTGACAAAAATATAGCGACTAATTAATTTAGGGTTGATGTCTATAGGCCACAGATTTCACTTACCATCAGGTGCATTGCATGTAACCTTATCATATTTATAAAAAACAGAACAGTTCGGTATAGCCCACGTATAGCCATATCATCCGAGTGTATATCCGAGATGACACATTCTTGAAAAATCCTTTGACGCCATTGTACACAGTATACAGTCGATTTTAAAAGGCTGTTCGATCAAAATTGTAAAACTGACATAAAATGTTAAACTTATTAAATTTGTGGAAATTTCTTCTCATGCGCATTATTTTAGTTAATAAGTAGAAAAACTACACCTATATAGGTATTAGCATAATGTTTAAAAAATAGGTGTTTAGGTTTTGCATTACAAAAAAATATTGTTAAAAACCTATTAAAATACAGAAATATAATTATGTTAACTACTAACTGCCACGGCCAGGGTTTTTGACTTACAATAAATTTCCTTTACGGCTTATACATAGTCCCAATGACCATTTTCCGCAGCCAAAATCCTGTGAGTAGCCTCGAAAATTTGATGACAATGTTTAAATTAATTTTATACAGGCAACGAATAGTAATTTAGCAGTATTTTTACCTACGATGAAATTATTAACACTTTATCTAAATTCTAAACTGAATTTTAATCCCACTCTACTTTTAGTAAAAATCCACTTGTTAAAACGGGCCTCTCCCTTTATGAAGAAGTTGGGAGAGTTAGCCTAAATCGATAAAAAGATTTATAACTTTTGCCAGATAATAATTTGCTTAGAACCATTTTTAAACTAACTAAAAATAAAAAAAAATAAATTACGTAGTGTAATTAAGATTTTTGCACTTTTATTAAAACAGACGTTCTATTAACACTCAGTAATAACAGCACGTTAGCTCTATATTTTTCAAGGAGTGCTATTCACATTTTATGAGCAATGAA